CTTGCTGCGAGAGGTAAATGGAGAGGGGGTGCTGGTGATGGCCTATGATAGATCTCGAAGGTGTGATGACTTGCAAATAGTTCCGTGCACTCAAAAGCCCACTCGAGAAGAAGAAGTGGTCACAATAATGCGGGGACATCCAGCAATTCTCAGCATCCGTTCAAAAGCTGTCTTCTCAGCTAGCAAGCGAATATTCCAAGCTGCTTCTGATTCGATTGGCATGGCTTCCTTACGGTGTACACTCTTCCAGAAATTAACCTGACAATAACAGCTCCTCTCATCTTCTTTCGAACCTTCTAACACTCAGTATGGGGGGGGAGGCTTGAAAGTTTCTTTCTTCTCATCAGTGTTTCGTCAGTCTAGCTCCCGGATTCACCAGTGGGAATACGAACTCAACTCAGCCATCATACACTCCTTATCCTTGAGCCAGAGTGGGCGTGGCATTTGATCATGGCACGGGATTGGTTACTCGTGGAATAATCCAGTCTGGGAACAACTGTCATCTTGTTCTGAGTAGAGACTTGTGTCAAGATGAAAATAGCTCACCAGAAGCATAGACACCTTCAGGTTAAGTTGAAGCATGCGGCCACGCCTACCCGATCTCAGGGATTTCGAGTATACATCTAGTCAGGGCAACCAGGCGCTGTTTATCGACGGGGGGGGGCATTTTGTACTATCACTGCTTCCCTTGTTCCGGTTTGCAAATCTCACTTTGGTAAAACTTGTGAACTCTTGTAAAGCTGGAGCAGGATCGTCTAGCCACCATCCCAAAACGTGTCAACTCGAGAAAACGCTACCTAGATGGGTCGACACATCTAAACATCATCACATCACATCAAAGCAAAATGCCCCCCCCCGTCGATAAACTGCGCCGGACAACCGTTCGGGTTGAACACTTCAGTTGCCTTGGCAGGCGTCCCGACATTATGTAAAGGCGATCTCCTGTCCAGTGCTTCTGTTTTTGGTTCCTTATGTACATGCACCGTCAAATGGAAGCTCTCCTAATTCTTTCAATCCATGGTTTGCGTACACGCTCTTGCCACTAAAACAGTTCCATCCATTTTGTCCTTCAGTTCCGTTTTGATCTGTGTCCTACGCCACGGTTCAGATTTTCGTTTGCCTCTTAACAATGAGCAGGGAACTGCCGTCAAACGTTGCTGCAATCGAGCACTGCAGAGCGATGCTGGAAACCGGTCTCATTGCCAGAGCAGGCCACGCCGTTCGCTCAAGAGTCCCAAACGGGAGCATGGAGGGTTGCATTTGGATTGCTGAAAATTTGTTTGCATTTTGCTTTTTCCCCACTTCAAGTCACTCCACTCGACGGATAGAGGGGTCGTATTGGAGAGGCGATTTCCCCTTTGCCATGGCGTATTTTTCTGCGGACCGCTTGCATCCTTTGAATCCATTTTAACCAAATGTACAAGCCCTGGTCTTCTACTGAAATAACCCACTCATCTCATGGCTCGCAGATAGGAACAACCCTATCTTTTGGGGTATAGACCCAGCCACGCATAAGGTGCATTTCGCCTCTGACGCCGCCAATATTACTTTCCTCGCTTTACACTTGCGTGTTTTTGTTTTATCTGCATCGATCATCTAAATTCATTAAGAAGCAAGCCGAGGAAAAGGCAACTCTGCTCAAAAACTTCCAAGTGGCTAACTCTGCCCAGTTTTTGTTGAACGCTTCACTGGAAGTAAGATAGGCGCAGTACAGACAGCTAGCAGAGATGCGGAGAACCACCCCAACATCGAACAGAAAGTTTAGTTTTTTCTATGGCAACTGAACCTTCCGAGAACAGAGAGAATTTCGATCCACAATAAGAAAAAGTTAGTACCCCAGAGAAAAGGAATGAATTCTGGAGATTTACGTTTTCCCACCGGTTTGTTGACTTTTAGTGCGATTTTGCCTTTTCATGTGTACCATTTACCCCCTTCCCCCCTCGCTCGAGAAAATTTTTTTTGGGGAAAAGAAAATGAATATGGGAAATAGGTATAGGTGTTGGAAAAGGGGGTGGGGGTCGTACTGACAGTCTCTCTTTGAGGGGGGGGGGTCGTACCTACACTACCATTTCACGCATTACGATGCTGTACCCTGGAGGGTGGTACCCAATGCTGGAGGGGGCGGGGTCGTATCTTTGAGAAAAGTTCCCGAACCGCTAGAAAACTTTTTTCCGCTTGCTGGCTTTTCTCGGTTTTTCCCGTTCCATGCCCGCAGCACGGGATTGGGGAAGGAACTGAAAATTTTTTTGGACGCAAAAAATGTTTCAGGAAATCGGGAGAATTCGGGGAAGGTGGCCGGTAGAGTAGGGAGCAGGATCACGCTGACACCGCCATTCACGTATCACCTGAACCGTGACCATCACATTCTATCACCACCCACATTTAAATCAGGAACGTAGCAAGTCCCCTGGCCAGGTATACAGCCCCATTAGGTCCTCGCCGCTCGCCGAAATCATTAGGGTAATGCCAAAGCCTGCTTCTAATCCTCCTGATGAACCTATAAATGGGTTTATCACTTGTTCTGAGCTCCTCATTTCGGCTTTGGAGCATTTTTGAAGACTTGTGGGCTTGATGGTGAGCACCGCTTGCGGGTTAACACTGACCCAAATCCCAGGAAACTTACAAGACCACTCCCTAATCAAATGTGTAGTCATCAGTTAGGCCGCGTTCATACATGACGACGTTGCAGAAATAACGAAATTGCAGACTGGAAATGTATACGTATCGATCTGAAAACCGCACTTCTGCAAATCCCCGGAATTTGCAGAAATGCGGACCGTGACCTGATACGGAATGATCCCTTAGCCTCACCAGTGGACTTTCGGTATTTGTGCACACTTGCACTCTGCACTTGTCCACTTCTGCGTGTTCCGCAGTTTTTAAAACCGATAGACACATTTTCTTCTTCTGCAAGTTCCGCGGTTCTCCCAAGTTCCGCATGTCTGCAAATTCCGCAGTTCTGCACATTCCGTGGTTCGGCATTTCTGCATCATGTATGAACGCGGCCAAACAGGGCACAGCATTCGATGGGGATTTTGGTCGAGCCTGTACGACCCCCCCTTTTTTGGGGGTTCGGTACGACCCCCCCCTTTTTTTGCCGTTCGGTTTTTTTCGCCTTAAATGAAACTATGAAACGCCCACTATGAAATTCTACTTGTATGAAGGTGCCCATACTAAATGGACGACTTGAAGTCATGACATAATAGAACAATACAGAGATGATTGCAAACAAAAACGGTACAATCGTATATGAGAAACTCGTATGATGAACTTCTTCGATGGCCGTTTTGAAACGCACACATGGTAATAGAATAAGTTGTTGTGCGCAGGACCCCAGTGCACTTGATTTGAGGGGCAGAATTTCCGCAGAAATCGTACGGTAGCAGAGTTGGGTATGAATTGCAGCTTTGACTGGAGCAAACGGCTATTAGCCATGGAGCGAGAATTTTCAGCAAAGTAGGGTGTCTTTGAAGGACCATAACTTCCTCAAAAGCGGACCTGTGGGGAAGAGGAGACCGTATTCGTGTAGAGGAAGGTTTGCACTTCCTAAAAGTACTGAAACGTTTATGAAGGTCGCAAAAATCACAGAGAAATCTGCCATAGGGATTCGTTGGGGAGTGGTTTCAACTGAACAGGTTTGAATCAATATATTTTTTTTGTAACTCAACATTTCACAAATCTGAGAACGGATCCGAGCTTCTCAAGATTTTCTCTTTCTAAAAACCTCTTGAACTGTTTCTGAAGCTCTCGGGATTCATGAGATCTCGCGATGGGGATTTCTTGGGGAACACTCCCAGCTGCGCGAAAAACCCGTTTCCTGTGTACCGTTTCAAGTGAGCGTGTTCGAATAGCCAGGAACGCATGTAGAACGTATCCTGTGAGCAGGAGCAGGATATGGTTCGTTTAGCGCCGATCACGCCAACTTTGGATGCGCCGCGCACTGAGGGCCGCGCAGAGGTGATGGGATGGTGCAACTTGTGCGTAATGTCTGTTCACGCGAGCAAATGTGTCTATAAGGTTCAGGGAGGTCCATGGCGAACCTGTGCACTTGTCTACAGTGTTTTCCCTTGCGGATGATGTAGCGTGTCCGTGTCGACGCCGCCAGATCTGTGCTCCGATAGTTGCTGATTCCGATAAAGGACCAAGTGCTGGAAAACGTCTGATACGAACGATATGGTAGTCCTGTCGCTTGTCGAGAAAAAAACAGGTTGGCTCAGCGCCAAGCGTGACCGCGGACACGCCATATCATTGGCAGCGAACCAGAGTTTGACTGTTTGTACTGTTTAGTCACCAACGGACCTACGAGATGATGTCGACTTATTAATATTTGCAGTTATTTCGGATTAGTTTGATGAATGAAAGTTTTGTACTATTTTTTTGCATATCCGAGTTCTCTACAAAGCAAGTTTCGTTGTACAGGACTCAGCACATTGACAATTTGCGCTGCTCGTTACTGGCTGCCGCACTCACTACGACCCCCCCCCTCTCCTGGCGGCCAAATACGACCCCCCTGTTGGGGATTCCCCAACCAACGATGTGCCCTGGGTCAAATATGGACAAGCGCGACGACGTCGAATTTTGCAGGGAAGTCGTGCTTGCAGACAAAACACATAAATGATTTTAAAGGACGTACAGATCCCACCACCAATGCGGTCCCGCGACCTACTGTTTGCAGCTCGGCCCTCGCACTGACGATTACGGTCGAAAAAGGGGGAGTGGCCGGAATTGCTTTGCCGATATGGTGTGGTTAGCTTTATAGCAGGGCTGGATTTTGATGTACTCGTGCTTTATCATCCATACCAAATTTGTTTTCCATAATCCTTGGAGAATCCTTTCGGCGGTCACTGGTTTTTGCGTGTTCTAAACTTTCGAAGGAATACCTTGGATGCTTTCAGGCATGCTTTCGAAGACAGTTGTGCTTGCCTTGCTTGGATCACTTGTTTTTTCAATAGGTAAGTTGCTGTTTTCCAGATTTCTGCATTTTGGTCTGAGCGTTTTATTGCTGCGTGGAAGCTATCCATTTTCCTGATAATTTCTTTTCCGTGTTGTCGAGAAACGGCGGCTGCTACGTTGACATACTTTCACTTCAGAAATTGTAGGAAGTTTGCAATTATTTAAGAAGGCATTAAAGAGTTTTTGGAAGCCGTTTTCCTTCATTCTGTACTGAGAATCATATGTTTCTTGACAACCACTTGAAAAGCGCGAAGAACTGTCAAAAAGTGTGGTTGTGTTTATAAATGAAGGAACCGAGAAGATCCCACTGGTGCTAGAGTGTTTGGCAGGAACGCGCGGCTTTTGCTCTCTCCTCCGGCCCGAGACAGTGTATGGAAACAAAGCATGGAAGATTTCAGCATATTTCAAGAGGGAAACTGTTGCTTTCGAATAGGAATAAAGTGCATGTACCCGCCAGAAGGATTTGTTGCATGACTTTTGCTGCTATTCTTCTGGGTGTGTAATTCAGCATTCATTCATTCATTAATTCAGCACGCTATTAATGTAATGGGTGGGAAAGTATTTTTAGGTACTGCGAGGCATCCAGAATATCTAGAAGTATCTTTTCGAAGGAATAGTTCGTCTGCCCGGAGTTCCTATTCTTTTAGGCCCATGCATACCTCACCCACTTTACAATTGCTTCTCACTTTCCAGCGCTTGACCTTATTGGCCACCTTACGGCGATGTTAAAACTATGTTCTACACCTGAAATTATAAGGTTATCTCGAAGGAACCCTCAAGCAGCGTTCAGACTTGTCGCGCTGCAACGCACGTTGATTGTAGCGTTCAGTTGTCGCTATCGCTTGTAATTGAACACGCTACAATTACAGGCGCGCTTCAATCGTACAACCCCCAGCTTCCCTTATGTCCTTTCTTCCGGTATTCAATCCCTTTTTCTCTGTTTCTCATTTCTACTTATTCCTTTTTATCTATCTCTCTTTCTTTCTTTCTCTTTCTTAGCTCCTCTTTTTCGCGTTGACATTGAATATTAGTGTAGTTTTAATGGTTTTGTAGCCGTTTCACAAAAACTCATCGTCAAAAACGAAAAAAAAAAACTAAAAAAAAAACTCAAGACGTCGTCGAAACTACATTAAAATTCAATGTTAAAGTGAAAAAGAGCTAAGAATCAGGTAGAAATGAGAAACAGTGAAAAAGGGATTGAATACCGGAAGAAAGAACATAAAGGGAAGCTGGGGTCTGGTACAATTTTAGCGCGCTTGTAATTGTAGTGCATTGAATTAATAAGCGACAGCGACAATTGAAGCGCTCGTTCGCGTTGAAGCGCGACAAGTCTGAACGCTGCCCTGCCTCAGTGGAGGCAACCAAACGCGCGGGATGCTATTTCGGCGAGGAGGATCTGAAGAGCACCCTGCTAGCGCCAGACTTCAAGCACCTACTAGTCAGAAATCCTACGTTTCAAGAGCACTTTTTGAGAAGACGTAAGAACTATCAGGAGACTGTGAATGATCCCATTCCTATTTACTATTTCGTACTCAGAGTAATAGTATTTCAGGATTAGTCCGAGCTGATGATCCTGTTGATGGTGAGGTGTCTGAGGATCAGGACATCATTAAAGCTGATGATGATGACCTGACAGTGACTTCTTCTGCTGATGCTGTTGTTTCGTTTATCTTCACTCAACCTGCTGACGCTAATATCCACAAAGGTTTTTTCTTAATGCAAAACAAACAGTTTCCACTAGAACTCTCGCTGCACGGCTCAGTATCGCCAAGTTCCAGAAATCCATGGTGGAAAGGTCGTGAAATTCCTTATTGGATTCCAAAATCGAGGTGAGAAGGACTTCCTCGTCAAGCATTCCGAGACTTCTTTCCGTTATCCCATGGATTTCAACTACTACCTTCAGAACGTAAGTTTTTCCTATCTATTTACGGCTCAGTAAGAATATGGAATCAGAGCACGACCTCCAATTGGGAAAAATTCTCGCGAAGTACCCCCCCCCCCAGGGTTCCTCCTCTACCACGACCCTGCTTCCTCATTCCACATCCTACTTACCATCTTTCTAAATTTTCCCACTCTCCTTCGAAACTGCCATCGAGGAGGGGCAGGGGGAAGGGAATATAGCGTACTTGAAACAAGAAAAACGGAGGAAAGTCAACAACCGAAATTAGGTTTCTCAGAAGCAAATACGACATTCCTCCCCTCTGTGACGAAATACGATACTCTTGGCTGGTAATCGCCAACCTGTGACCTGCCCTATATGAGATACGATGGTCCCAGTCTACAATTTTCCGTAAGCCGTAGAGTAGGCTGCATTGTTTGAGGAATTGTTCGAGATTAATGAACCATTCAGTAAATATGACAGCTCGGAACGCTCGAAGGGGGCTATCCACCCACTGAACTCCATCCTTCTGAAAATTGGTTGTCCTAGAGTTAGCGAAAGAATTGACTCAAAATTGCTGCCTGGCATCGCTTATACCCCTAGGTTCGCATTGACCCACTTTCCATTTTCTTTTCGTCAATAATCGTTTTATTACCTTTATATATCGAGATGGTTCGAGTCAGCAGAGCTATTGAAGATGTTTAGTTCACTCTTGGCCAATACAATCGCCGTGTTGCTCCCAAGGAAGAGGTGACTTTGGATTACGCTTTCTTCGCACACGAAAGCTTTGCTGGGCGTCCTCTTGGGCTCGTTGTTAACCTTCACTATGAAGACTCGGTAGGTTATGGGTTGCTCTTTGTTCTATCTACTTTTTTGTTCGAAGACATATCTTAATTGTGTCTGAGAATGCCGGCATTTTATGTTCTTATCAAATGTTCTATGTCAATCAAGTGTGGTTTTGTTATTCAAGGAAGGGCACTATGTTACCAACGTCTTCAACGAGACTGTAACGATTCTCGAGGACGATTCTGGTTTCAACACGGAAACTGGCCTCATGTTTCTCGTTTTTGCCATTATCATTGTGCTACTCCTTCTTGTTGGTCAACACTTCCTCAACAAGGTTAGTATTAGTTTGATTAGATTTAGCGATCACTTTTTTTCGTCAATTTTGATCAAGACGGCGAGGGTGTAGCGCATTGAATGGGTTCTGTTTGAGGAACTGGGATTGCCTTAGTGGAAATGGGGATTTCTGGGTAAGCCTTGGAGTGGATTAGATCCTGGTGCAGAATGAGTTCCTCATTCCGGTGAACTCGGTTTCGCAAAAGTCCTTTGAGTCTCATATTATAATAATTGCTGTTTGCGCTATCCGTTACGCCACCAGTGCAGCTCTTACCCTCTCAGCTCAACAGCTTTTATGCCGTAGCTTTAAGCGCTCACACGTTTAACATGGTGAGTGGAAAATGAACATGAGTACAAGTCCTTTTGGTGCTTCTTAGCCGATGGTTCCCTCGGTTTCGCTGAACTGTCATGCCACAACTTTCAGTTCTGAGCTTCTCTTTCAGTCATCGGCCCTTTGCATTTTTAGTCGAATTTCGAAGGCCGTAGATCAAAACCGATGTAGTTTCTTTTCGAGTGGGTGGGGCACATTCTGCATCCTTTGCCGAAACCAAGATAGGTTGACGAATTAATGGTGTTTCGCACGAGGTCAAGGGTAGTGAAACATCTGTGTTTTGCAATAGCTCTTCAAATCGTTTTTCTTTTTTTTTCTATTCAGACGTGGGAAAACTTTGGCTTTTCTCGACTCTGTCCCTCGGCGTCTACGCCCTAGGCCTAGTTAGAAATCGGAATCACTTGAGAAACTAATATAAAGCACAGATGGTTCTCATTTTTTTTCTTATTGTGCAGCAGAGCTGGTTGAAAACTGACAGCCACTTTGGCACAACACGGAAACTGCAGAATTCATAATAACATGCGGGGAGAGAAACTGCACCCCTCAAAAAGTGCTTTTCTTTCCTGTTCTTGTAAGGGTGCCTTCATACTTTTCATCAGAGTTTTGAGATCTGGCAGCGTTCTGCCGTATCGAGCGTTTGGAGTGACTAGGAAAGTAGCTAACGATCTGGCGTCCTGATCGGCCGTCAGCGTACCCCAGAGTTTCAACGACTAGGAAAGTGTATGTATTGCCGTCTTGATTCGCCAGTGTTTTGAGCGTGCGCCAGCATTTTGAGCGACTAGGAATGTATACATAGATACCGATTCGTGCTGAAGACGCAGGTGGGCGCTTGAGACGCTAGGTCGATATTTATACATACTGTCCTAGTCGTTGAAAACACTAGTGGACGCTCAATATGCTGGTAGACCTCAGAGAGGGGACAGCATCGTTGTGTGAAACCCATGGAAGGGGGGTCGCACTTCAGCGTTGGGAAGGGGGAGGGCTACCTGGTCGTTGTTGGGAGAGGGGGTGGGGTCGTATGCCGTTTTGAGAGTTTTGCCGCGTCGGAAAAAAATTTTCCCAGATGTTGACTTTTTGTGGTTTTTCCCGTTTCACATGTGATATTTTCCTCTTCCCCCTCCCCTCGCTGCTCGACGGAAAATTTCTGGGTGAAGAACTGGAAAATGTGGGAAATTTGGGATTTTGGAAAAAGAAGAACTGGTAGGAAGCTGGAAACTTGTATGGAAGTGGTAGGTAGGTGATGGGGAAGGGGAGGTCGCACCGAGACGCCCTCCCTCGAGGGAGGGGGAGGTCGTGCTCAAACCACCGTTTCACGCTGGCGCGAACGCTCAAAACGCAGACGCTCAAAGGCTGGATCGATACCGTTGTTTTCCTTAACGCTCAGACTGACAGACGCTCAAAACGCTCCCACAGACTATGAACACACATTAAGCTTTGGTTAGGGAAAAGGGCACAGAGGCCTGGTCGAGTTAGCACCGTTGTTCTTCACTATGTTATATTGATTGCAAACAAATTTGTCTTTTTTGCAGTTTACTCGCAAAGCTGGTATGCAAAAGAAACGTCAGCCAGTTGTGGAACAAGGCACCAATAACTCTGAAGTCGATTTCGAATGGATTCCAAGGGAAATTCTGAAGCAGAACGAGAAAAAGTCTCCAAAACCGGGTTCACCTCGCAACAATGGTAAAACGAAGAAGACCAACTAGGATGCGTTCATAGTTCGTGTAGATCGTTCAGTTGTACCTCTTGATCCAGTGAGGTGTGCGCGGCCTTTCTGTTGTAAGAAGGACGGGTTTAATGTGTGTCCCGCATCCCGCCTCCTATGGTTGTACATTCTACAGTAATATATATGTGTGATTGTGCTCGAGTTTGGCATATGTAGTGAAGAGCAGTGGCCCGCCAACACAGCAAGTCGCATCAGGTATCAAGCGGCTCCGGATAAACTCACTAGGTCCGCCAACCCCACCGAGACCCACGTGTCCACATGAAGGATCAACTCAGAAGTATAGCATACCAGAACATAACAATGTCTGAACTAATAGTATGAACCACAGCAACGATCGAACCACAAATCTAGAAGGGGTAAGTCACCTCTCAACCTTGCAGGATCAATTTTCAGTTTCTGTTCGAATCAACTGGATCAACCAACTGGATAAAACGATAGCTCCATGCAATTAGAATAACTTTTGAGCGCCTAAGACTTTCATCAGTTTTCTTCGAAACGACTCAGTTGAGTTAGAGCCTACGACTCCCGCACAAAAAGGTTCGTACCTCCCTCCTCCTCTTCCTTTCCCCTCGAAGAGACAAGATGGTATCGAATCCGATTCTCGAATTTTGAGCATTCGCGCACGTTCGGAAGTTACACGCTATTTCGCGAGATCTTGTAGAAAAATTTTTGGAAGTACTCTCGTTTTTGCCATATCTTGATTGAGAGTGGAAGTTCTGGAAAGGCAGGGTTGCCAAGCTCTGGGCTTGGAATTTAGCTGTTCTGAAGTCATTCTACGCATATTCTTCCTAAGGAAAGATCCCGGTTGTGAAATTGTTGTTGAAATTCAGTGTCACCTACGAGTTTTCATGCTTTATAAAGAATGAGAAAAAAAAACTGAAAATTCATACAGCACGCCGACGTGTTCCTCCCGCACGACTCACACACCCTCCGCTTCTCTGCCAGGCTACCGTAATTACTCTCTTCTACTTACTCATCAACTGAACCTGCACACTCCCACCCCGAAGGTAAACGATGTACCCTGTCGCTATCGCATTGGCGAACTTGAATACCCTCCTAACGCCCCAACTAAAGCTCAATCAAATTACATCCAGCAATCGTTGGAACAAATCAACCCAATAGTAACATCAATATGGAAGGTATAAATTACGTTGCAGAACATTAAGAGCCAGCACAAGAACCAGCAACCTTTATTTGACATAGTATGCCCATCAGACTTACGATTCCACTGAAGAGAAAGGGGAGCTTGTTTGCGGACTTTTAAGAAACGTTCATTCAACGAGTGCAGGTTAACAAGGCTGATGGATGAAGCGGTACTTTATGTGTTTTATGACTAAATCTGGACTTTGGATATATGAACATTTATTATATAGATAGTACAATGCAAAAGGGAAAGTGGAAGGAGAGGCGAAGGCCGGCGGAGCCGGGCCTAGGCTCGAGATCATTAACTCCTAGGTGGGTTTCGAGGCGAAAGCATTCCATCCGCTGCTGGCTAGTAGCAGCCTAAATACTCTAACATAACAAGGATATCTCCATTCCTTGCAGTAAGCTAGTCCTTTTGCTTTGAACTTCCGTCCTATCGAGCTTGAAGTTTTTTCTCGCAGTATCCTTCGAGCTAAAAACAAATCAGACGATATAGACTGAACTGTGAGATAATATACCACAAGAGTGAACTGCAGATGAAAAGCATCCATTCACTCATGACGTGATAATTCAGCATAATTCTTCTGAACGGGTACAAAATTGGAGGTAATTATGGTGGTTCACTGGTGGTTTTTTTGTTGAACAGACGAAGGCGAGCACAACCGTTATCGAGGTTATTCACCCAAGTTTGGTTTGGGGCTACCCCCACCTCTCGAAGAGTAAGAGGGCAAATAGCATGTTAATTGTACTGTATAAAATGATAACAAGAGATCGTCGCGGTTGTAGCTGTGTCTTCTTTGAACGAGAACTTTTTGCTTCTTAATGTTGAAGACCAACTTCCATGGCGAAGGGGCGACGGCGAACGATAGAACGGCAACGAATGGGCGGCGGGTAGTAGAATAGCAGCGGGGACGACGGTGAATATCAGCGAGTAGTAGCAGGGGAGCGGCGCGTTCGTAAAAGTCGTTTCAGTGCGAGGCTTTAAGTGACTGAGCCTGCAGCCTTCTGCGGTAGCAGAGGAAGTAATTGTGGTCGAGACCAGGCAGGCGTGAGACACTTCAAGCACAGTAGCATCTTGGAGGCTTGCGCAATGTGGAGGTTGGGTGGTGGCTTGTTGTTCAGTGGTGTACATAAGCCTCCGCGAGTGACTTTACCCAATACCCAAATTTTTCGGCAAGCTGAAGAGCATCAAACTTTGGTCAACATTTGAAGCGTTAGTCCACAAAATGAAGGACTGGACGTTGTTGAAAAAATAGTATCGCTCAGAGAAAGTTTGGAAGACAGAGCTTAAACGGTCAAAACCTCACCAGGAAACTACAAATGGATGGTCCAAATTGTGAAGGACTTCTGCGCCGAATATTCCCAAAGAGGTCGTAAATCGTTCAAAAACTGATGAATATGAGGGCAGCGAAAATCTTTCTGACATCCTATCCGCAGTTTTGGCAGAAATTTAAGTTTTACAGAACCAAATGCTTTCTGCAGTTTCGATGTTAGAAAAAAAAACTATTTTGTCCAAGTTTCCGTGGAATTTTTCAAACCTCATATCTGGCCAGGCATTGCAGAAACCTTTGCACCACATCAACAGGAGATTTGCACTGGGAGGGAATGTGTAGCATATCCTACACCTAATTTCCAGATCCCAGTAGCGTGCATTAGTCACACCTGAACGCAAAGTGATTTTTCTCCATTGACCGTATAATACCAGCTACACTTCATTAATAGGCTTTCGCGACCCTATTACATGACACGAGCGACACCCTAGCTCTATCCTGCTGATTTGCACCATTTTTCAAAAGTAGGAGAGGCTTCCATGGGTCGATGTACGTCCTTTTCAGAAGAAAAAAATTTGAAATGTCACGAACACACCGAAGTGTTGGCGCGACCGTTGGGGCGGGGCTTCAAAGAAACATCCAGGCTTATACATATTTATTCATAATACATAAAATATAGAGAGGGTAAGAAAGGGAGCAGCCGAGGGAGTGAGTTGACAGACGACTGCCTCTTCATAGCCGCTGTAATGCCCATCGTAAACCTGGGTGGCGCGGCTGGTGAAACCCGCGGAGTACCGGCAACTCCACAAGGACACGACATCTCCATTCGTTTTGTAAGCTCGTCCTCGAGCTTTGCATAGCTTTTTAGTTAACAGTCTCGACTGAATTATCAACAACAGCAGGTACCAACGAACATAAAGGGGCGAAGAGAAGCATAGAAAATAGGAGGAGCCGTGTCAGTACTTCACTTTCTATAAGATGGATGATTAAGTCTTTGCAGGGAAAAACAAGATATAAGCGGCACTACTGTGTTAAGACGCTAGTCACACACTGAACCTGTCGATGATATAGGCGAGAAGATTGACAAGTTAGTGGTTCCTTTTTTTTTCCTCCCGGTTGTGATCATAGTGTGCGACCGTTGCCCGGGCGTCTTCACAGTACCACTGCCGGAGTGCTGGTCACTATTGTTTATCTCCCTTAAAATATTCCCCCATTTCTCGGCTTTTCCCAGCCTCTCGATGGAGCAGTGGGCATCGGTGATGGCGGAGTCGCAAGATTAGCACCTGGCCGACTTGAAAAAAAAGCGTCAATCGCTTACCGTCCGACACTGATATCTCAAAAAACAAACAAAGGATAGCACCTGCAGCATTCTCTGCTTGACTATTTTTTCCTTTGGGCAGTAACTGAAAAACTGTGAAAACTTCTTTCTGAAACTAAGCGAGGACAAGCACAGTAAATATTCAGGCTCTACAGTACCAATAGTATAAGCGAAAAAGGAGCAAAGATCACAGCCAACGAGTTTTTAGAAAAAAATAGAAATGCGAATTAATCGCGCACCTCTTCGAGGTGGGGGCAGACCCCGGCATGAAGCCCCAAATAATAGCGAGAGTACGGGTGAGCACCTTTAGTTGGAGCGGTGGGCTGTAAGATACTGTAGGCACCACCTAGCTCATATCCCAAGGCCTGCCTGCGGCATGACCTCACTTAATTGCTGCGCTGACCTCTTGGCAAACTCAAGCAAGTACAATGTTGGGTGTTAATGAAGGAAATTTCTTTATACTTGCACCAAATTTACAACGAAATAAATAAAATGCACTACTCAACATTCCAAAAATTATATGGTTTTACTAGTTACGTATCTAGCCATCTTTCTGCAAAAGTCTCCTAACCCTCAGTGTTGATTTTGATAACATTTTTTAAATCTAAAAGCAGCAAAGCTGTTTCGTATCACTTTTACTTGAAATGGCTTAAAGAAACGGTCCGCGATCAGGTATCGAAGTTGAAAATATGGCGTCGGGAGGGTAGTGCGGTCCGCGACGAACAACCCTGTACCGTTTTCGCGGCAAAAAAGTGCAGGGGAGGGGCGCTATAAGGCAAAATAGGTCCAGTGGTTCCTCCTTTTTTCCAGTGACTCCGCCTCCCAAGCGCCGCCCTTCAGTGAAAACCAAGTTGTGGGACGAGAAAAGCATGAAAATCTAAGCGCCTTCGTTATTTGTACGGACGTAGGGTTGTATTGAGTCAGCTGAGCGCGCGGAGGGTAACAACTGGAATTGTATCAAATGTATTTCGTGCTTTTTCGTTCCCTAAATCATGTCTTGTAATCTGTTGTTTTTTTTTAAATTTTCACGTGTCGTGAAAACGTGTTCACGCGTTTACTATTGTGATTTTCATGCAGCGGTGCTTGTTTTTCAGATATGTGATGTAGTGACGCCGTCCATGAACGTGGTCGCTTTTTCTCATGTTGCTGTTCTTCACTTCTATTCCCTTCCTTGATATGTTCTCCTACCTCCCACCACAGCCGTGAGGATTTCGAAAGTGAGTTTTTGTCTTTAGTTTTGCTTTGATT